GCGCTTTGCCCAGGTGGCCAAGGCACTCCACGAGTCACCTACCTCCTGGCTCTGCTGGCCACCAACCTGGCAATAACATGCCACCCGCCTGCTTTAAAATCCCACTTGGGAATACACACACAGGACAATCCAGTAACCCACACAGTTTAAAAAAATGCAGGTGACAACTATACAGTGCCACTGGTAGTTTAATGCTTTTTAAAACAGAGCTCCCAGGCTGACTCTGCTCACCACGGCACAGCCAGACGCAGCACCGGGGTAGCCATAAAAACAGCTCGCACCAGGAGTTTAGGATTACAGCTAACAGCTTCTGAGATCAAAGACACCACCAGGCAATAAAAATATTTCAGATGCAGCATGGTCCAACAGACCAGATTCTCCTCTGGCCTTGTGGGAAAGGAAGAAGGGACACGAAGCCTCGTGCCCGGTGGCTCGTATTTACCAGCCCTGTTTCTGGGAAGCACTTCAGGCAGACAGCACGCTGCGGGGACAGCCCTGCCGGAAAGGTCCCAGACGATACCTGGTTTCAAGATGAAAGGCTTGGGTCACGCTGCTTTGTGGGAAGGCTTTAAAGAGGTTTATGATGGGTTTTGTGGAAGAGGCCAAGCTTGAGATGATGGTACTTTAAGAAAAAGGAGAGATGATTTTGACAGCAGAGAAGGAGGAAGGATGTCAACTGAGGGAAATATGGGGGCTGCAATGATGTGAAAACATATAAATTGAGGTTATGCAATGCCCTGTGAGGAGAAATTAGGAAGAAAGCTGAGGAATTGAAAGAGGAATAAAATTCCTGCCGAAACCTGTGTCAGAATAACCAGAACAAGGATTCCTTTTCTTCTTTTAGTACTTGACAATGGTAAGGACTAAACAAGACTGTAGTGCACCACTGGACTTAGAGTCCAATACAAATGGTAATTTTTGACTGATTACCACATACATGCTGTGTCACAATTTAGGAGAATTAAATTCTTCAGCATTACAGATGATAGCGCTCTTCTGTGCCTTATCAGGAGGCATCTGGCCAGGTCAAACTAATTACCAATACTGCACAAGTGCCCTTATCTCGGAGCAAATGTTTTGCTGCTGCAATTATGGATTTGTTAAATTGCAAAAGCTACTTTTAAGGGAAAGGTTCATCATACTTTTAAAAGGTACAATTATATTGCTCAGCGAGTCAGGAAGCTCAGTGTCAATTAAAACAAGGTCTGCTTCAATTACTGCACAGGCTGCCTGACTTGTGGATTATACCTTAATACTAAGGAGGATCTTTCAGTAGACAGCAACCTGTGCTGATGACTTTGCAGTCTTCCTTCAGTTTGAAGGTTGGCTAAACATATTTCAAGTATTCCTGAAATCCTGTGTAAATGAACAATTCCAGTCTTTATTTCATGTACAGAAATTACCAAACTCTGTATGTTAACAGGAGCTTGTTCTTGGTAATACATGCTGGAATTATTAATTCAAGACCATTTAGGCTTCACAGTTTCCAGTCCTTCTGGCCACAACCAGTTTTGGGTTTTTAAGCATCACAGCTCTAGGGCAAAGAAACATTTTCTCTTACATACCCACAGCAATCTACCTGGGAGTCTGCACTATCCCAAGGCTGGTGTGGATGCAACACTGCACTCCATTATATAAACAGACAAGCCTTGCCTACCCAAGCGTGACACAAACCAGGCACACGCGAGCTGGCTTCATCACTTCAGTAATGATAAAGCAGTCTAAAATTATTACATTAGACAAGTACCAACTATAAACGTGTCTCCCAGTGAGACTTAGAGAAAGAAGCTTTCCCTGCAGCCGCCCGCAGTGGGTGGTTTGCGGATCACGGTGGAAGGAGGCACATCCATTTTACAAGAGGAGCACCCCAGCGCGTAGGAAGGGGCGGAGAGGTGAGGCTGGGCGACGCCGTTCTGCACAGCAACGCGGCACTTCTGACTCCCCGAGCTGACCAGATGTCTCGGGGGAAGGCAGCAGAAAATGGTGGCAGTAATAGTTCAGTTTCCTGACAGCCAAGTCCTGAGCCGTCATTTTGAAGGACACTTGTGAACTATCTTCAAATCTGCAAAGTAAAAGGAACAATCGGACGGGGAGGTGTTACAAATAAAACGCTCGGCAGTGGTGAGCCAGTCATTTTGGAAGCAGATCTTGAAACTACTTTTCTTCCCTCTCACTCTGAGGCAAGCAAATCAACAAGGAGAAAAGTTCAGTGCAGGGTATTTAAACAGAGTAAGTTAGTTCACAATTTGAGGCTTGAAGCTTCTAGCAAAAAAAGCACACTTAGTTGAATTCAAATGAGAATAATTCCAGAACAACTTTGTCCAAAGAGCATGTGTTCCCCACGACTTGAACTTACAGGATCGGCAAACTTCTCACAGCACAACTACAAGGTGGCACTAAATGGTGCAGTGTTGGAGTCCTGGTCCATAAAAGCTCTTACCACACGAC